AAAAACACAACATTACAAGTCCATGCAACTTCATCTAATATCCTAAGGTTTTGCTTCAAATCCTCACTGAAGCAAGTCTTCCTATTAAGGTCAGTCACCATTTTTAGGACCTTCTGGTTTAAGGCCAAAGGTAGTAAAAGGGTTCGGTGGGTTATAGCCTTATAGGTGTGGTAAGTTAGAGTTTGGGCTTGAAATTGGTGATTGTGGTGATGTTCTGAATTGTAACTTGGTCATATAATTTCTGAGAAGGAGAAAAAAAATGATTCTAGGAAAATGCGTAGAACCTTAAGCTTCATCCTTGCATGATGAAGCAAATATCATACCGACATTATCTCTTTATTTGAAAATTTTGTTTTCGACATCAGTTCTTGAGGACATTTCCTGTTTTGTATGGTGTCATGTATTTTCTGAGTGCATTGCCCATTAAACTCCATCACATCTGGCTTTGAGTTTTTATTTTGGGTTTAATTTTAATCTTACCTCATATGTGATATTGTAATGATAATAGGTCCTATTGAAGAGGATATAATTTGCTTTTTCTCATTAATGTTTGAACATATTTTTCAGGACCCAATGGCCAACGTACAATGTGTAAGTTTCCATGATTATACAAAGTTTCTTGGTTATACAATATTTCTTGACTTACGATTATAGCAAGGCGGTTTTTTTTTCCTGTTTTTGTTGGTATGATGTTCTTGTTAACAGGATCATTTTGTTTTCTCTGTTAACTATCTGTTTTAAATTTAGCTTTCATGGCGCGACTGATGTATGTCTGATGCTGTGTGAATGTGGAAATTGATGACCCAGCGCACTATCATAGGGAGAGGCTGCCACTGTTAGCACAATAGCTGAAGTTCACTGAAAGACATGCAAAACTGTCTCCTGGGCAAGGTTTGCTAGTTGAAAATGCATAAATAAATGGCTGCAGTAGAAACAGTTACATGGACATCTAGTGAAGGACTATTCTCAAATTTTTATTGAACATTCCATTTACAAGCACAAAATTCATTTTCATTGCAATTATTTTTGTCTCTGGCTATGGTTTTGGTGATATACTTATTGTTTCATTACTCTCTAAAGTGTGATAAGTTGCAACCTTATGTATTATATTTGATGGATAAACAACCTTAATTTGTTGGATCGATGATTTGATGTAGGTCTTCTTACTTTCACTAGGTAATAGAGAACTGGACCAGGGAGAATATTAAACTTTCAGTCAATACGGCTTCCAGTTAACTTGCAATTAACTTATTTCTGTTTGTATTTTTGTATCATCTCTAAAATGTTGCTATGTGGTATATGAAAATTGTATTGAATAATTAAGAGAGGAGTTCCCTTATGAACCTTCTTCTTTATTGTGTTATACTTGGCTCGTGTTTAGAATGAGGATGCACATACCACTTGCTCGAAGAGGCTGGTTTGGAGAGTTGGGCTGTTGATGTTCTTGGGTGAGGTTTTTTTGATTTAGGTTTTTCCCTAATTTAAGTCTGCTCTTTAACTAAGATAATTACAGATTTACTTTCCTGTTTTTTGATGTGCTTTATTTTGGTCCGCGTCTTTTGCTGTATCTTATTTTATTTCACTTTACTAAAGACTTCTCCAGTTTAATGCAGCATCAAAGTGACATCATTTTTGCCAGGTATTTTCATATATTCTTGTAGTCCTGTTCAATTGCATTTCATTTGTCTATCACTTGGCTTCATTCACCAACATATATCTTTCCGGCTTGTGGAGTATTATAATAGTGTCGGCGTTTGTTTTCCGTCGGAAAAAACGTTGGGGTATATTTTGCCAGGAGCTTTCTCGATGCCGACATAGGTGACATTTAATTCAAATGCCGAGTATTAGAATTGATGTCATTTATTTATTTATTTTTTTTGTCGGCACTTACAATTTCAAAATTTTTTGTAGTGACACACACCAAAAAACATACACACTCACTAACGCACCCAAACACACACATGCACACACACCAGTGTTTAGTGTGTTTTAGTTAATGTTTAGTCATATTTTTGTGCTTTTTTTTTATGTGCATATTTTTATTTATTACTATGTTTATGTGTATTTTGCTGTATTAGAATGCGTGTGTTTTGGTGTATGAATGCGTGTTTTTGTGTATTAGTGTGTGTGTTTGATGTACTGGTGTGTGTGTGGTGCATTAGTGTGTCTTTTGATGTATTAGTATGCGTATATGTGTTTTAGTGCATTTACATATTTGTGTGTTTTGGTGTGCTATAGTGTGCACATGTGTGTTTTGGTGTACTATAGTGCATGCATGTGTGTTTTTGGTGTATTAATGTGTGATGTGTGAATTTTTTATGTATTTGTGTGTTTTGGCGTATTTGCATATTTGTGTGTAATTTGATGTATTAGAGTGTGTGTTTGTTTTAATGTAATAATGTGTGTTTTTAGTGTATTATTGGATGTGTGTGTTGGTGTATTAGTGTGTGTGTATTATGGTTGTATTAGTGTGTGTGCAAGTGTGTTTTGGCTTCTTAGTGTATGTGTATTTTTTTTTGTGTATTAGTGTGTGTATTTTTTTGTTGTATTAGTGTGTGTTTTAGGGTATTGGTCTATGTATCTTTTGTGTGTTAGTGTGTGTCTGTGTTTTGGTGTATTAGTGTGTGTGTGTGTTTTGGTGTATTAGTTTGTGTTTTGGTGTAGTGTGTGGCTGTGTTCGTGTTTTGGAATATTAGTGTGTGATTGTTTTATTCTTAGCCTGGTGTTCTCTTAAATAGTCCTAAAACACCTTTTGAAGTTGCTCCACCCCTCTCTCTGAAAATGCAAGTCATTGAAATTTTTGTAGCCTTATGGTAAGTTTGTCGCAAATTTCACTCAAATGCCGTTTCACTCGATTATGAATGTATATTCTTCTGTGTGTAAATATGTTTGTCTTTGAGTAGTAGGTTATGATTTGTTTTGGGATCACTTGCTGCGTTTTATGTATTCATGATTCCATACACAAAGGTTGAAGAAAGCTTCAATGTTCTGGAACACATTCACTTTCTCTCACCAGTTCATATCTTTATAATTCATTTTCTTGAATTTTTCTTTGCTGCCAATTTGTGTTTTCTGTTGTGTTTAATTACGGACTGATTGTATCTTTGGTTTTACATTGTTTAAGTTCTCCAAAAACATTAAAAAAAGAAAGAAAAGAAAATATAACCTATTACGAAATTGAACTTATTGTTACTGTTTCAATGCTAAAGATGTGGAATTTGTTGTATGTTATCTTGACATACCAAAAGAGGGTAAGAAAATTGAACCAGTGTTTTATAAGTTAGTTTGTGAATTTGGTGTTATTTATTCAGAATTGTATTGATCTTTTTTACTAATAGTGGTGGGTTTTAGGCAATCCACGATTGTGTACATCATCACTATGACATAGAGAAGGTTTAAGTAGTTGTTTTTGAAATGGTTTTTATTTTGTTTTGGAATAAAGTGGGCTTGGTAGTGGACCTAATTTCTGTGTGCTGTATTTCATTATGTACTTCAGTATGATCATTTGGAGGTCAGAGAAGTTGTTCGTCACACTTCTATTGGTATGTTTTATTGTTTTTGTAGATTAATTTTTTTCTTCATTATATTTTGTTATAGTCTTCTCCATGATCTTGGGTCTACCATTAATTATGTTGCTAGATTATTAGTGTCCATTTTGAGAAAATAAAAACATGTGTCGGGATACTAGTAGTTAAATTAATCACTTGATATATTGAACACAATGCATTGTTTTAATGATTTTTAACTGGCCTCCCATCGAGCTATATAGATTCTTGTAGGTGCCTTGGGTGTATCAACTTTGCATAGCCGATTATATTGACAATAAATTCTATACTTGCCAAAGTTTGAGTCTTTCTGCAGGTTAGTTCTCTATATACTTGCACATTTCTACTGATTGCCAATTTTTGTTATGTACGATGTTGTGCCATGTGTTACCCTAAACACTGAATTCATTTATTTATCATTTTCTTTCACTTATATTTTTTTGGTTATGGGGTTGTGCTTTTGTTAGTGTTCATCCTTGTGTTTATTCTTTTTTCTTTTGCATGCTATGCAGTTTTGTGAATTTAAAAACTAAAGGCTTCTGCCAGGTGAAGGTATCCCTTTCTTTTATCTCTTTTATCGAAGAGTATGTTTGACAATCATGCAAAAAAAGAGCTTATAAAGCCTTTTCTGTGAGCCTTGTTCTCAGTTTGCTATCGGTCTCTTGGGTGAGAACTTCATCCGTTTGAATTTAGTGTCGTAGTTTTTGATATCTCAGTTTTTATTTTTCATTATTTACATGGTAGCTGAGATTAAGTGGTCTTCTAGATTTAAGGAGGTCTCTTTCTTGGGTAAGCATTTGATTACCACTTCAGAAACTTTTTACTCCTCTTTAAGTAATTTTAGTTGATTTAGGTTTTTTCGTTATTATTTTAATTATTTTTTCTCATTTTTTTTTGTGGTTGCCGACCAACCTCGAAAGACAGAAAAGATCACGGGTCAGCTGAGTCGCGAAAAACAAGAATAATGTCTCAAAGACTTGAATTTATTTTTCTTTTTCTTACTCATTTTTTATTCATAGATGGAGTTAGATATAGTGTAGGATGAAATATGCTGACATGATTTCCATTAGTGAAATTGTCAAGGAAGTTGGAAGACTAGAATCAACTGGCAATGGGGTATTGAAAAGGATATGGTCGCTTGTATATTAGCAGAATATATGGCCCCTAACAAAACTAAAGTAGTGAAAATAAAAGATTCACGCATGTGTGTGAATTTCTGCATTCATTGAAAATTTTGCAGTTTTAGGGTAATTTATCGCAAATTTCACTTGAATGCCATTCAAGTAATTTTCTCTACTCCAAAATAGGTATGTGTATTTTTTTATATGTATCAATATTTTTGACGAATTGGGAATTGTTTTTTAGTGGTAGGCCATGTTTTGCCTTTGGGATTAATTGCTTTGTCTTATGTATTCATGGTACCGGTTACAAAGGTGAATGGTTGAAGAAGGTTCAATGTTCAGGTACACAGTAACTTTTTATCTCACTAGTTCAAATCTTTTGATTTTTTTTTTGTTGGAATTTTCTTGGCAACCAAACTGTGTGTTCCATTGTGTTTAATAACTGAAATATTGAATCTTTGTTTTTACAATGTTAAAGTGCGCCAAAAAGTGGAAAAAAAGACCTACTACATTGTGGGACTAAGCTTATTGTTACAGTTCCAATTTGAAAATTTTGGAATCTCTTGTACTTCTTAGCAAACAAAAAGAGGGTATGAAATTGAAGTTGGATTTTGAAGTTATTTTATGAATTAAAAATATTTATTCAAAAAGGTACTGATCTTTTATATTACTTTTGGTTTGTATTAGGTAATGCACGGTTCTTGATATCACCATGTAAATCCACTTGTCTTTATCTTCGATTTGTTTCTTGTCCTTTTTTTTTAATACAATCGTGTTTGGCCATCTTAACTTGACAAATTCACTATCAAACACAAGTGTGTTTCTTGAGGCGCCCATAGACCCTTATGTCAAATTTGTTGATTGTGGAGTGTTGATTCGATGCAAAGAAGTGCTGAATTTGGTTTTAATGAATTTCTTAATCAAGGTTTTAGCATAACATCAGCTTTTTTATTCATCATTGAATGAAAAAAAAATTGAGTCATCCATTGGTTTGAGGGAATCAGTCTTTTGTTATATTTCATGATTCGAACCACAATCTTTTGTTACGTATTATTTTTATCATCATACAAGTATTGTGTATAAACTTAGGTATATCAACTAAAGACGGTGAAATTGCAAGGTGCTATGAACTGTGAGGTAAATTTTCTAGAATTTCTAGAATTCTTGTTTATTTTGATTTATAAGGCCAGAATGTATAATATTTGATGGATTAACAATATTTGATACACTGTAGGTTCTAGGAAGAAAAAATAATAAATAAAGTAATTGATGGAGAATTAAGGTCAGTCACCAATCACCATTTTTAGGACCTTTGGTTTAAGGCCAAACATAGAAAAAGGTTTGGGGTGGGTTAGAGGTGTGGTAAGTTAGAAACTTAGAGTTTGGGTTTGAAATTGGTAACTGTGGTGAGGTTGTGAATTGTAACTTGGTTATATAATTTCTGAGAAGGAGAAAAAAAATGATTCTAGGAAAACACGTAGAATCTTAAGCTTCATCCTTGCAATGAAGAAGCAAACATCATGCCAACATTATCTCTTTATTTGAATAATTCCTTTTCGACATCTGGTCTTGAGGACATTTCCTGTTTTGTATGGTGTCATGTATTTTCTCAGTACACTGCCCATTAAACTCCATCACATCTGGCTTTGAGTTCTTATTTTGGGTTTAAATTTAATCTTACCTCATCTGATATTGTAATGATAGGTCCTAATGAAGATGATATGATTTACTTTTTCTCATTAATCTTTTGAACATATTCTCCAGGACCCAATTGCCAGTGTTGGAATATTCAACAATGTGTAAGTTTCCATGATTATACGAAGTTTCTTGGTACGATATAGCAAACTTTCTTGGTTATAGAATGTTTCTTGATATACGAGTATAGCAAAGCGATTTTTTTTTCCTGTTTTTGTTGGTATGATGCTATTGTTAACAGGATAATTTTGTTTTCTCTACTAATTATCTGCATTAAATTTAGCATTCATGGCACGACTGATGTACATCTGATGCAGTGTGAATGTGGAAATCGATGACCCAGCACCCTCTCATAGGGAGGCTGCCACTGCTAGCATAGTAGCTGATGTTCACTATAAGACTTGCAACTGTCTCCTGGGTAAGGTATGTTAGTTGAAAATGCATAAACAAATGGCTGCAGTAGAAACAGTTACATGGACATCAAGTGAAGGACTCTTCTCGATTTTTTATTGAACATTCCATTTACAAGCACAAAATTCATTTTCATTCCAATTATTTTTGTTTCTGGCTGTGGTTTTGGTGATATACCTATTGTCTCATTACTCTCTAAAGTGTGATAAGTTGCAGCCTTATGTATGATATTTGATGGATTAACAACCTTAATTTGTTGGATCCATGATTTGATGTAGGCCTTCTTACTGTCACTAGGTAATAGAGAAGTGGCCCCGGGCGAATATTAAACTCTTAGTCAATACTGCTCCCAGGTGTCTTGCAGTTAACTTATTTCTATTTGTATTTTCATATCAGCTCTAATACGTTGCTATGTGGTATATGAAATTTGTACTGAATAATTAAGAGAGGAGTTCCCTTATGAACCTTCTTCTTTATTATGTTGTACTTAGCTCTTGTTTAGAATGGGGATGCACATACCCCTTGCTTGAAGAGGCTGGTTTGGAGATTTGGGTTGTTGATGTTCTTGGATGGTGTTTCTCTGATTTAGGTTTTTCCCTAATTTTAATCTGCTCTTTAAATACGATAATTCCAGCTTTACTTTCCCCTTTTTCGATGTGCTTTATTTTGGTCCACGTCTTTTGTTGTTGTATCTCACTTTATTTCACTTTACTAAAGACTTCCCTAGTTTAATGCAGCATCAATGCGATATCATTTGTACCTGGTATTTTCATATATCTCTGTAGTCCTGTTCAATTGCATTTCATTTTTCTATCACTTGGCTTCATTCACAGTGGCAGGACTTCACTTTATGTTCCTTGTAGCTATATTAGTATTCAACCCTCACTGTTTGAATTTCTAAGTTGGATTATTTACATTTATATGACAGCTTTGGAAGTCTAACATAAGAAGGCCGATGATACTAGTTGGACCAAGTCTTGGTGCTGCTGTTGCAATTGATTTTGCACTCAATATTCCGGATGCTGTAAGAATTTCATTCAAGCTAGTGTCGTATTAATTGCAGTTAATTCAAGTTTAATTCTGAAATACAACCCCACATCCCAAATATATGTTGTTGGTGAAGTTCTTGTGTTAGCTGTTGCAGAAGCTTCCTAGCAGTAATTCCCATCAGGATTGAAAAACTCAAGGTGATTTGAGCACAATATGAAGTAATGTGGGATCCAAGCAATGTCTCACAGGAAGTTATTGGAAAAGTTTTGAGTGATCGAATTGATTCTTTGTCCTTGCCCTTTCAAATGAAGAGCCTTCTGAATTCTAAATAATACAGGATTCACAAACATTGTAGCACCCTTTTTGTCAGAGAAGTTGGCTATCCCTCTCCAGTTTGAAGGGTGTTGAGAGGGGTTGAAAGCACACCTGCCTCTAATTTATAAAGTAGAATGTCAATTGAGAGCAGTCTGCCCTACAGTCTGCAAACTGTGCTGGACAAAGAGTAACTATGGTCGCTAAAGATCAATAATTCACTGTTTTAGTACAATCCTTAAACTAAAACTAATTACTAGAATATCATGCATGCCATAAATGACTTGTTTGTTTCCTTCACACCATAGTAATCTGTTTTTTCCAGATTGACACAATTTGGTTGTTAGTCCGAATTTGTTGTTGGTGCATCTATTCTAATTGCAGTTGCAGAACTCGAAAACAGTGAGATTGTAGTTTCATGGTTCCCTCAAGATGAAGCTCTCTGAGATTTAGCACGGTGCATGCAGTGACACTTCATTTCATGCCGACATGTATTTATGTTTTTGAATTTAAGGTTTTATGTGGATAAATTGTGTAGAGTTTAACTTTCTGGAATTACATAAAGTTTATGTGAATTGACAAACTATAGTCGATGTGGATTGTATGATTTAATTTCATAGATTTTATTTGGAAAGTAAACCAATAAAATAAAATATAAAAATGGCTTAAACGCCAAAACAGTGTGGGCATAGTGAGGGCTCTTTGCTGGTCTTTATTTAAACGCTAACATATATCTTTCTGGCCACCAGAGTCCAGCAGTAGTGTCGGCATTTGTTTTCCATCAAAAAATGCATTAGGGTACATTACTCAAACGCCGAGTATTAGAATTGCCATTATTTATATTGTTTTTGCCAGCGTTTACTATTTTAATTTTTTTTTTTGTAGTTACAAATATAATAACACACGTACAAATTAACGCACCCACCCACACAAACTAGTGTTTAGTGTGTATTAGTTTGTGTTTAGTTATATTTTCGCATTTTTTTGTGTGTATTTTTTTTATCTATTATTATGTATCTCTGTGTTTCGGTTTTTTAGTGTGAGTTTTTTGGTGTATTAAAGTGTATGTATTTTGGTGTATTAGTGCGCGTATGTGTTTGGTGTACTAGTGTGTGCGTGTGTGGTGCATTAGTGCGAGTGTTTTGGTGTATCAGTATGTGTGTTTTCGTGCATTTACATATTTGTGTGTTTTGGTGTACTATGATGCGTGTGTGTGTTTTGGTGTATTAATGTGTGATGTGTGTATTTTTGATGCATTAGTGTGTTTTGATGTATTTGCATATTTGTGTTTATTTGTGTGTGCTTTGGTGTTTTGGAGTGTGTGTTTGTTTTATTGTAATAATGTGTGTTTTTAGTGTATTATTGGATGTGTGTTGGTGTATTAGTTTGTGGGTGTGTGTGTATTATAGTTGTATTAGTGTATGTGTGCATGTGTGTTTTGACATATTAGTGTGTGTATTTTTTTGGTGTATTAAGTGTATTTTTTTGGAGTATTAATGTGTGTTTTTTGGGGTATTGATTTATGCATCTTTTGTGTGTTAGTGTATGTTTGTGTTTTGGTGTATTAATGTGTGGTTGTGTGCGTGTTTTGGAATATTAGTTTATGTGTGTGTGTGATCGTTTTATTTTTAGGCTCGTATTCTCTTAAATAGTCTTAAGACACCTTCTGAAGTTGTCTCTCTCTCTCTCTTTGAAAATGGAAGTAATTGAAATTTTTGTAGCCTTATGGTAAGTTTGTCACAAATTTCACTCGAATGCCATTTCGCCCGAATAGGAATGTATATTTCCATGTGTGTCAATATGCCTGATGATTTGTAATGGTCTTTGAGCTGTAGGTTATGATTTATTTTTGGGATCAATTGTTGTGTTTTATGTATTCATGGTTCCATACACAAAGGTTGGAAAGCTTCAATGTTCTGGTAGACATTCACTTTCTCTCAACAGTTCTACAACAACCCTGTCATGCCCCAAATTCACATCATATGATATGTTTGCTTGAATGATAAACCTTTTGCTTCACCTAGCTAGATTAATTGCCACCAACGTTCAACAAAGAGAAGGACAATTATCAATGCTTTGGTGTGTACGTGGCTCATGTAAGACTTGATATTAACTACTGATTGAATTAAAAGGCCTCCTAGATTTGTGTGCATTACATAAGAGAGCCACAAAAAGACTTCTGTGTTCATTACTTAAAGAGAGCCGGAAAGACTCTAGTTCTTTCTTGGTTAATTATCTTATTGCTTATGCTTTGTGGGAAAACCTTTTTGCTTTGACCGAGTTAAGTTGGCCTGCTTCACAAGATATAAATTTTATGCATGGAATGGGTATCTCATGCTGGATATTTAGTATTATCAAATTCAATCGGAATCCTCTTCTGTAGATTTAAGGAGGTCTTTTTCTCGGTTAAGCATTTGATTACCACCTCAGAAACTTTTTACTCCTCTTTAAATGATTTTGGTTGGTTTAGGTTTTCTCTTTGCTATTTCAATTCTTTTCTCATTCTTTCTTGTGGTTTAGGAGAGATTTCAGACCCCTTGAGATGTTACCATTTGCCATCTTGTATTATTCTTGATATTATTATTTTAGTTCAAGAATGAGAATCTTGCCGTACTTATTTCTGTATTTTGATATCCCTAAGTATTTTTATGGATAGAATTACTGATGCGAAGTCACGTTTTATTTGAGAAGATTAGAAATAAGTTTGGCAATCAAGGTTCAATTTCACATGCTGTTCTACTGCACACATCCTCTTCCCAATATACCGACACTCGGATTAGGTAATTATTTCAGCAGTTTAACTCTGGAAATACTCTCTACAAATGCTTGTTGACCTTTTATTCCAAATGTAGCTGCTATTTATTATGGCTTCTATGAACAATACCATGTCTTTTGTACGAGATGCTATTCCATTACCCTTATACAGAATTCCTTTTGCTTCACGCACTAATTTTTTCTTCATGTTAGTTCACTCATGGATTTCAGTACCATGAGGATGAGGAAAGTGTTTTTTGCTTAAAAGCATGTCATAACGCTCACTATGGATTTCTATTACGTCGCATTTTCATTGTGCTACTTGGGATTGAACTGTGGATCCTTATTGTTTTGAGTCATAGCGGTTCTTTTTGGATGAATATGTAGATTGACAATTCTTTGTGTTTATTTTGGTTGACGGCTTGATGGATAATACAAATAACATGGTCGGGTGGTGATTGATAAATTGCATTTGCCAACTAATGGGCCACTTTGGCTGCTTATTGTTGATTCTATGAATTTGGTTTGCTGAAACGGTAGTGGCTGAAGCTACATTATGAAAACCCTTTTTATCTTTCTTTTTCTTACTCGTTTTTTATTCATCGATGGAGTTAGGTATAGTGAAGGGTGAAATATGCTGACATGATTTCCATTAGTGAAATAGAGGAGTTGTAGGACTAGAATTAACTGGCAATGAGGCATTGAAAAAGAATATGGTCACTTGTATTTTAGCATAATAAATGGCCCCTGACAAAACTAAAGTGGTGAAAATAAAAGATTCATGCATGTGTGTATTTTGCATTCATTGAAATTTTTGCAGCTTTAGGGCAAGTTATCGCAAATTTCACTTGAATGCCATTGGAGTAATTCTATCTTGTATTCTTATATGTGGTAGGTTATGTTTTGCTTTTGGGATCAATTGCTTCGTCTTATGTATTCATGGTACCGCATACAAAAGGTTGAAGAAAGCTTCAATGTTCACGTACACAGTCACTTTTTATCTCACCAGTCAAATCTTTAGATTTTCTTTTTCTTGGAATTTTCTTGGTAACCAAAATGTGCATTCCATTGTGCTTAGTAATTGAAACATTGAATCTTTGTTTTTACATTGTTCAAGTGCTCCAAAAAGCAGGAAAAAAAGCGCCTATTACATTGTGGGACTGAGCTTATTGTTAAAGTTCCAATTTGAAAAATTGAGATTCTCTTGTACGTCCGGGCAAACAAAATGAGGGTATGAAAATTGAAGTTGGGTTTTGAAGTTATTTTATGAATGAGAAATATTTATTCAAAAGGTACTGATCTTTTCTATTACTTTGGGTTTGTATTGGGTACTTTATATCATCACGTAAATCCATTTGTCTCTTACTTCGATTTGTTTTGGATTAAAGTTTTTTTGATACTGGGCCTAATTTCTTTGTGTGACATTTGGAGTTCCCGGAGTTGTTCCTCCCATTTTCATTGGCATGTTTTATTGTTTTGGTAGTTTTATTTTGGTTTTCATTATATTTTGTTGTAGTCTTTCTCTATGATCTTAGGATCTACCACTAATTATATCTCTAGATTATCTGTGTCCATTTTGAGATACTGAAAACATGTGTCAGGACTCTAGGAATTAAATAGATCAGTGGATGTAATCATCATAATGCATTGTTTCAATTAGGTTTGCTGACTTCCAATTAAGCTATTTAAATTCTTGCAGGTGCATGGTTGTATTAATTTTGGCATCGCTAATTGTAGTATGAATGAAATTGTTACGCTTGCCAAAGTTTGAAAGTCTTGTCGTGGGTTAGTTCATTATAAACTCTTTCGTTTCAAAGCTTGACAGTCTGGACTTCGGATCAAAGTTCATTATAAACTTGTTCCTTTTTCAATGGTGGAACTTCGGATCAAGCTCTTGCAGTTGACCTCCAACGCTCGATTCAGGTAATCTCTTGCTGTCTGGTTTTGGAGTTGATTGTATGCTTCTAATGAATCCATCTCAAGAACCACTTTGGGGTATCCTTGCTCCTGCACTTGCTTCAGGCCTTTGTATATCGCTTAGAGCTCTGCCTTAATGCTTGTGGAGTGGTCCATCCTACCATAGAATCCTTTGATCCAGTATCCTTGCTCATTTCTAATTTATCCTCCAATTACTGTCGTCCCTTGATTGCTTTTCGAGCACCCTTCTGTATTCAGTTTTCGCTAACCTGCAGGGGGAAAAGACTTACCATCAATCTGCTAATTCTTTGCTGTGTTACTATACATGTGATCAGGAAAACATTCACCACTTCTGAAGCAAAATTCAGGCTTGTCCTGCCACAATGTGGGGGATTGAGGTGATGTTCTCAATGCTTTCTTTGTTCCTGTCCTTCCAAATGTGCCATTGTGTACAAGTAAAGAGAATAGGCCATGGCCATGGTGTAGCATCGAGGAGTTAATAGATCATTTTTGTTTTTAGGTCGGTGTTCTCTTAAACAGTCCTAGGACACCTGAAATATCTCTCTTTGAAACAATTGGAGCTTTGCACCTGTAACAGTGGCCATTGCTGATAATATTTCTCCTTCACACTGGCTGTTACCAAAAGTTTTCTAATCATTACAAACCACAAGAAATATTTCAGTTTCTGGGGGACATTCAATGTAGATATCAATATCGTGATGATTTTAAATATCAGCATTTTGGAGCTTGACATGGCCCAATGGTGTAGCACCGAGGATTTAATAGATCATTTTATTTTTAGGTCGGTGTTCTCTTAAACAGTCCTAAGACACCTTAATTCTCTCTC